AATAATTTCCCATTTATTTTTCTTTTTTCTAAAGTATAGTTTTATTTTATTTGACTTAAAAGAAATGTGTCAGCTCATAAAAACCTTTGTTTTATATATTTAATGTTTCTCAAGTTTCTTGACCAATCAAACAAGAAGCTACTGTGCAAAGTCACGTTCATTTTAGCACAATCTTCTAGAAGAAGTATATATATTACATCCAACGTCATTCATTAATTTTGCTCTAACTCTGATGAATTGTTGACTCCTTGAACTCCATCAGCAGATTAAGCTCCTTCATACAAATACAAGACAAAAGACGAGTTCAGGACGAGGCGATGAAGATCATAATAAGTAATTATATTTTGTTTAAACCACATGACTTTTTTTCATTGGCTCAGTTTCATTTTCTTTTTCAGTTTCTTTTGTCAAACGTCCTTTAGGGGTGTGAAAGAAATCATCAAGAGGGAAATCAGCTTTATACTGTTTATTCTACAGGTTTACACTGTACAGAAGATTAAAAGAGGCCATTTTTAAATTGACAGTATATATTTAAATTCTTAAACTCTTTGGAAATTGATTTAAAAATGTATTTATTATAAAATCACTATTCTGCTCTGCATTTATTTATTTAGCCTGTGTATTTATTTCTGATCAGACAACCGCCTTCATCTTAAAGAATCCTGTAAACGCCTCTCGCTATCTGTAGCGTAAGTACTGGGTTGCCATGTACAGGATATTCAAGTTTGAAAGCTGAGGCTGTGCCAGGAGAGGAGGAGGGAGTCAGTAGGAGGCGCATCCGATATCAAATCGAAAGCAAAGTGAATGAGGAAATAAAAAAATCCACAAGACAGACATATTGTCCTGTGCTGCAGCCGTCGGACTTCATTTAAACCGCTCCCGCGGGTATATTTATGATAATATATTCCTGAAAAAAGTTTCTTTAGTCATGTCAAAGGCAGCGACTCTGAAAATAAGCCGCACGACTGCGGGGAAGGTAAGTCGGTGAGCTTTAGCTTTTTGGGAGAAAGCGCTCTCTGAGGAGGGCAGGTTGCGAGGTAAAGGAGCTAAACGGCTTCCCGGCGGCCTGCAGTGACTTTAAAGCGGACTTGGTGTGAGTGTTGAGCCCCGGTGTGTTTGAAAGCAGTCGGTTATAGTTGAAAAGCAGCGGAAAGTCCCCCGCAGGAAAACGAAAGTAAAGCTTTTCACAAACGTGAGTCAGCACTTGAACCGTGTTTTATTTGATTCATTTAGTCTGCTCACCTTTTCTCCACAGGTGGACAACTTCCGCCAGGCTCTGTATCGGGAGGTCAGTTGACACATTGATTGCGTTAAATTAGTAAAATATTGAAATAAACCACCTTTTGTGACTTAATAATGACTTGAGACCCCTCTTTGTGTGTGTGTGTGTGTGTGTGTGTGTTTCCAGGCAGAAACTCTCTTCTCTGACTTCATCCCTCTGAAGATCACAAAGCTGGACTCTCTGCTCAAGGTGAAGCATTTTAACTGACAGCTTCTGTGACCTTTGACCTGGGAAAACTGCTCTTCACTCTTGTCCTTGTGTTTGTCTTTTATTTGATTGTTTTGTCAGGATGAGGTCTTCAGCATCACAGAAACAGCTTCCCTTAGGGCTCCTCTGGACATCCCCATACCAGACCCTCCTTCCCCCGAGGACGAGGTGAGAGCGCCGCAGCCTGTCACGCTTTTAGCTTCATCTTTCACT